GATGATAGCGCTAGTAATAGCCAAGACTAAGAATTAGGAATTAATTTTCCTTTAAAAGAATATTGTGTGGTTATTAAGGTGCTCAGAAATCATACTGTTTATTTCCTAACTGTGCCCATATGTGCTAAACTCCAGAACTGTGGCTGCCACCAACATGAACGAGACAAGCAGCAGGTCCCATGCTGTTTTCACCATTGTCTTCACTCAGAGGAAACACGACAGCGAGACGGACCTCTCCACAGAAAAGGTCAGAGCAGGAAAACAGTCGCCCTCTTTGTTTATAATTAGTCTGTAAAACGTTCACACTCAAATACACTTAAAGTTCCTTCCTCGTGTTTGTTAGAGATGAATTTCTTTATGCTGTTTTATTTAGACTGAAAAATGGGTTAAAAGCTTTCTTTGGTCCTTTAGTCTCCTGAAGTTAGTGGTCACAGGAGGCAGGGGGGGAAAAAAAAGAGAGAGAGCCGTTTTAGATTTGACTTTTAGCATTTCCTCAGACTGTGGAGGAACAAAGACCGCTGTGTTACTGTAAACAATGCCTATTGTATGTGGCCACTCTGTTAGATTTTACACCCTTGCTCCATCTCACTTGACAGGAATGCCCCCAAATGCTTTGAATGTGTTCAACAATTCATTCCGCAGATTTTTATGGTGGGATTTAAACCATTAAACTGGAATTTGTCTCTGTTTTCTAAATGCAAAAATGCTAAATGCAAAAAAGTTTTGCATTTAGAATTGATTTCCTTTATAAATTATTTTCTACAGTGATTTGTGTGAATCTGCTGCTTGGCTCGGGAGCACCAGGCATACGTTTTCCTTGACATAAAAACTATAAATAAAGTGAAAGTGGAGCTTTCATTTTTTTACGTCATACCTCCAGCAGTGCTGTTTCTGTTGCAGTAATGGAACACATCTTTTGTAATAGATTACACTGACAGAGCTATTTCTTCAACTCACCAGAGCTGGTCAAGTTTTATAGTGCGTGCTTTGTCGCTGATGCTCAGCTCATTACTGTGTCCAGGCTGTTCATAAGATGCTAACCTGTGTCATGCAGTAGCTTTGGTATGAGGAGTCTGTACATCATCCAAGTGCTGCACTGTGCTCCTCTATCTTTTTTTTCCTGATGTGGTCAATATTATGCAGAAATTTAGATTTGGCATTGGTGAAGCTAAGAGCTGTATTTTATTTATTCATTTTCTCTACCCACCCTATTAAATGCACATTATTATAGGCCTGATGCATCTAATGCATTTACTCCCTCCCTTTAGGTCAGTAAAATTAGTCTGGTAGACTTGGCAGGCAGTGAGCGAGCAGATTCAACTGGAGCTAAAGGTACCAGGCTAAAGGTAAGACTCCGATCTTCCCAAACACCTTGGAATCACATTTAAAAAATGGCTTGTACAACCTGGAAATCTGTGTAATTTTATTCTGTTTTTGTTTTTTGTCTGTGCTTGCAGGAGGGAGCAAACATCAACAAGTCTCTCACCACGTTAGGAAAGGTTATCTCTGCCTTGGCTGAAGTGGTGAGTCTTACACTTGATTTTATTTCCTTTATTTCTCTCCTCCTCCTCCTTTGCAGTCGTTCTCTTATCCTCTACAACTTGACCCTACCTTCAAAAGGAATTCATGTTTGTAGCCTGGCATGCTGTAATGTCTGCCCTTCTGTTCTCTCTTCTCTTGTCCTTGTAATGCTTACTTGCACAGGATAATTGTACCAGCAAGGTAAACCCTTTGACAGCTAAACCACTAACCTGTCATTCATCCCATGAGACAGATTTGACAGCCTTTGGTCATGTGCAGCAATGAAGTTGCAGATATTTAGCTGGTATCAGTTTTATCACTTTAAACCTTAAACCCTCAATCCCTGCACAAGAGCAAATGCATGTCAAATTAACTCTCTCCTCATTTTACCTGACATATTGACCCTTACACATAAGGATCTTTTTTTTTT